CATGTGTGTTGAAAGTGCTGCTTTAATTTGCACAGCATTTTTAATATATGATGAACTAAGTGTTTGCTTTATGGCTTCTATTCAATATTTTTCCCTGTTCTACCTTCTTTTCCATAATACTGTTGGAGGCTGTGAATGTTTCTACTATCCCTTGAATTTCTATAAAAAAAACTGATGTAAAAACAGGGTCTGACGGGTTGCTGTGAGTTTTCTGGACTGTATGGTCACGTTCCAGAAGCATTCTCTCCTGATGTTTCGCTCACATCTATGGCAGGAGAAAATACTTATGGAACATGGCCATACAGCCCGGAAAACTCACAGCAACCCAATGATTCTGGCCAACACAACAGGGTTTTAAGTTTTTATATAGAGGGGTTGGATTGGATGGCCCTTGTGGTTTCTCTCAACTCAGATTCTATTTGATAGTGACTGCGTTTCACAATATCTTACTTTTTTTTCAATGAAGGTTTACATTCTGGGTTTTTTTGGGGGGGGGGTCGTGTCAGGAGTGGCTTGAGAAACTGCAAGTCACTTCTGATGTGAGAGAATTGACTGTCTGCAAGGACGTTGCCTAAGGGATGCCCAGATGTTTGTTGTTTTACCACCCTTGTGGGAGGCTTCTCTCATGTCCCCGCATGGGGAGCTGGAGCTGACAGAGGGAGTCCAACCTGCTCTCCCCAGATTCGAACCACTGACCTGTTGGTCAGCAGTCCTGCCCGCACAAGGGTTTAATCCATTGCACCACCTGGGGCTCCTATATTGTGTTAATTCTTATTGATTGTTTTAACATACCATAAATGTGCCCATACAATGGCTTCAAACTACAAGAGAGGAGATTCCATCTGAACATGAGGAAGAACTTCCTGACTGTGAAAGCCGTTCAGCAGTGGAACTCTCTGCCCCGGAGTGTGGTGGAGGCTCCTTCTTTGGAAGCTTTTAAACAGAGGCTGGATGGCCATCTGTCAGGGGTGATTTGAATGCAATATTCCTGCTTCTTGGCAGGGGGTTGGACTGGATGGCCCATGAAGTTTCTTCCAACTCTTTGATTCTATGATTCTATGTTATTTATTTTTTATTATTTGTATTGGGCTTAATATAATTCTGTGTATTTTGAGTCTTGGGTGCATCTACACTGTAGTATTTATTTATCGTGTCAGGAGCAAACCAAATCAGCTGTATTGCATTAGAAAACAGACAAACAAACAAACAAAACACAAAGTTTGCAGACTTGGTATTCTATTAAATGTCCTTTGACCAGTAACTGGCCACTTGGAGTGCCTCTGGTGTTGCTGCAAGAAGGTCCTCCATTGTGCATGTGGCAGGGCTCAGACTGCATTGCAGTAGGTGGTCTGTGGTTTGCTCTTCTCCACACTCAAATATCAGGGATTCCACTTTGTGGCCCCATTTCTTAAGGTTAGCTCTGCATCTTGTGGTGCCAGTGTGCAGTCTGTTCAGCACCTTCCAAGTGGCCCAGTTTTCTATGTGCCCAGGAAGGAGTCTCTCCTTTGGTATCAGCCATTGATTAAGGTTCTGGGTTTTAGCCTGCCACTTTTGGACTCTTGCTTACTGAGGTGTTCCAGCGAGTGTCTCTGTAGATCTTAGAAAACTAAGTCGTTGGCTTGCTGGCTGGTATTTGCACAGGGGATGGGCGGGAGATATCACTGGCTTTGTCCTTTTACTATTGGTTGCTACTTCCCAGCGGATGTCAGGTGGTGCAATAGCAGCTAAACAGTATAATTTCTCGAGTGGTGTAGGGCACAGACACCCATGATAATGCAGCATGCCTCATTAAGAGCCACATCCACTGTTTTAGCATGGTGAGATGTGTTCCACACTGGGCATGCATACTCAGCAGTAGAGTAGCAAAGTGCAAGGGCAGATGTCTTCACTGTATCTGGTTGTGATCCCCAGGTTGTGCCAGTCAGGGGGACATGAGAGAAGCTTCCTCCCAGGATTGCGGAGCATCCAGGCGTCCCCTGGGCAACGTCTTCGTAGACGGCAGATTCTCTCACTCCAGAGGCGACCAGAAGCGACTGTAGTATTAAAGCAGTTTGATGCTGCTTTAACTGCCAAGGTTCATTGCTATGTAATCTTGGGGTTTGTAGTTTGGTGAGACACCAGCACTCTGGTAGAGAAGACTAAAGAATCTGTAAAACTGCCACTCCCAGGATTCCATAGCATTGAACTGTGGCAATTGAAGTGCCGCCACTTTAACTACCATGCCTTAATACTATGGAATCCTGGGAGTTGTAGTTTGGTGAGGCATCATTTGGTAACACTAAAGACCTGGTAAAACTAGTATTCCCATATTTATTTATTTATTGTGTCAGAAGCAAGTTGAGGGTATAGTTAATATGCATTTAGAAACACAAACAAAGTTTTGAAAAAAGAACTTGGCATTATGCTAAGTGTCCTTTGACCAAAAGCTGGCCACTTGGAGTGCCTCTGGTATCACTGTAAGAAGATCCTCCATTGTGCATGTGGCAGGGCTTAGGTTGCATTGTAGTAGTGGTCTGTGGTTTCATAGAATTCTTGAGTTGGAAGAGATCTCATGGGCCATCCAGTCCAAGAAGCAGGAAAATCGCATTCAAAGTGCCCCCGACAGATGGCCATCCAGCCTTTGTTTAAAAGCCTCCAAAGGAGCCTCCACCACACTCTGGGGCAAAGAGTTCCACTGCTGAACAGCTCTCACAGGTCAATAACTCTTCTCCTCAAGACTTTTCAATAACTTTAAAGCATAGGTTCTTTTTATTGCAATTTCCAGTGTAAGAGGGTATATCAGATTACAGAAAAACATTTAGAAAAAGAATGACATTGGACATACAGACATTCTATGCAACTACATTGGATTTACAATTACATGGCTAACACACCAAGGGGAATTACATTTTCACACAACATTTACACCACATGTACACGCATTCATCCCCAGTCATTCAAATATTACCATATCATTTTCTCCCTCCTTGGAGAACACCTGCTAGGCCAGACCCTGCTTTCCTGCAGCCTGTAAATGCATCGTTCCATAACGCCAAAACTTCAAAACACTGAAATGCCAAAACTTCTTTCCCTAAGAACAATGCCAAGGACCAGATCTCTGTTTTCCATACAGCAGAACCTTACACCCTGCACAAAATCTAAGGCTCTAAAAGCGCACTTCTTCCTCTTCCCTTGAGAAAGAAGGCCAAAGTGATCAGACTACTCCCTTGCCGATCTGCCACTCTCCATAGGTACATTATCTCTCTCCTTCCCATGGAGCATAGCATAGCAAGTGGAACAGACTCCTCAGGTCTGCCACAATTTGAGTATTATTAGACTGAGTCTTTTATAGGAATATTCTGCTGATGTAGTCCCAAAGTTGTAAATTAATGGTAGACGTCTTCCATTCTAGCTCCATCTCAGTTTCCTGGCCAGATGTTGATTCTTCTTGATTGGTGTTGATCTTATGTTGACTTCCTTCTTAACATTGTAAACATTTCTGTTATCACTGTTCCAGTTCTTATCAGAGTTAACTTTTCAGGTCTTATTAGCAACTTTTATATTATTTATTTGATACACTTGTATACCGCTAATATCTCAGCCTAGAACGGCGACTCATTGCAGTTTACAGCAGTTAAAACAATCTACAATTTAAAAACATATACACATATAATAACAAATTCAATAACAAATTATTGGGCCACCAATAATAATCCCATATATCTCGAGTTGAGATTACAGTCTAGTAAGCAGGTTTTGTCATTGCAGGCCTAAATATTATATTGGTGTCTCCAAAATTATTAACTCCATCCTCATGCATCCTTCCATTCATTTCCACATCATATTAAATTCACATTTATCAAATATGCACATTGAATTTCTTGTGACACACATTTGAATGTTATGAACTCCACTTTGTAGTCCCATTTCTTAAGGTTAGCTCTGCATCTTGTGGTGCCAGAGCACAGCCTTTTCAGCACCTTCCAGGTCATCCACTCTTCTGTATGCCCAGGAGGGGGTTTCTCATCCAGTCTCAGCCACTGATTGAGGTGCTGGGTTTTACCCTACCACTTTTGGACTCTTGCTTGCTGAGGTGTTCCTGTGAGTATCTCTGTAGATCTTAGGAAGCTGCTTCTTGATTTAAGGCACTGGCATGCTGGCAGATATCCGAACAGAGGTTGGGTAGGAGATGTTAATACCTTAGTCTTCATTGCTGGCTGCTACTTCCCAGGAGCAGACTTGCAGAATACTATTCCCATGATTTCATAGCATGGTGACTAAATCAGGATCAAACTGCATTAATTCCACAATGCAGATGCACTTTCAACCACCCATGTGGACCATTCTGGAGGATTTTGGAAACGATTTGGTGCATTTCTTCCTCTGAAACAGAAAGGAGTTGAAAACAGGTTTTGGAACTATACCACCTTTCTTCGGCTGGACCTACTACTTCATCATACTAGAAAATGAATCCACTTTAAATTCTGTGTCCTGCAGAATTCTGTGAGGAACATTTAATATAGTGGTTCTCAACCTGTGGGTCCCCAGCTGTTTGGGCCTACAGTTGACTAGCTGTTAGGATTTCTGGGAGTAGAAGGCCAAAACATCTGGGGACCCTGAGGTTGAGAACAACAGCTTAACAGCCTCACTAAACTACAAATTCCAGAATTCTACAGGAGGCAGAAACCGGATTTAAAGTGGATTCATTCTCTAGTGTGATGAAAAGGCTAGACTGCCATATAATGCAGCTTGAAACTGCGTTATATGGTCAGTGCAGACTCATATAATGCAGTTTAACTCCAATGACCTGCATGGTATAAGTCTACACCAGGCATAGACAAAACTTTGGCTTTCTAGGTGTTTTGGACTCCAACTCCCACAATTCCGAATTATGGGAGTTGAAGTCCAAGACACCTGGAGGGCTGAAGTTTGCTCATGCCTCGTCTACACTGACCATACACTGCAGGTCCAAACAGAGCAGAGAGAGCCAACCTTGCTCCCTCTCCCTGTTTGTTTGCTTCTCCTTCTCCTTTCGGGATGGACAAGAGAGAGCCAGGACTGAACACTGAGGACTCTCCTCCTCGCTGACTCAGCCGGAGAGGATTCGAATTCGGTTTCGTTTTCGTTTCTTCTCATCTGGAGGCTGCTTTGCGAGCGGATCCCTTTGCCTGGCGCCGCTGGACTCGCCTCATTCGCTTCGCCTGGAGCCAGAGGAGCCAAAGGGTCCCCAAGATGCCCAAAGCCACGGTGAGGGAGAAGGTGGAGATCGGGAAGGCGTTCGCACAGTACCTGAAAGACACGGGTCGAGAAACCTTCAGCGACAGAGAGAAGCTGAAGATCATCTACAACCAGGAGTTCCGGTAGGTGGAAAGAAAGAAGGCAGGAGGGGAAGGAAAGCAGAGGAAGGGTAGCATCTCCCCAATGGGAAGGAATGAGAGAGAGTCAGTGCATGCATCTAGAGGAGAATCAATGCTGCTCTAGAGGACTTGAACTGCCATGGCTCAGTGCTATGGAATCATGGGAGTTGTAGTTTTCTGAGGCACCGGGGCTCCTTTGGCAGAGAAGGCTAAAGACCTTGTAAAACTACAACTTCCATATGTCTACAGCATTGAGCCAGGATGGCAGTTCAAATGTCAAAATGCATCCCTTTTCCATGCTGGATGCACTCTTAAAGGGAGAAGAAGAAAGAAAGGCAGCCCTCCTATTTCTCCCCCCCTCCTCCTTTTTGTTGTTTATCTGCAGAGCTGAAAAGGATTTTTTTTCTTCCTCTGGTTACCAAGGCAGGTTACCAAGGCAGGTTACCAAGGCCGGTTACCTACATAAATAGGGGCGGAAATGGAGAATCAATACAGTTGGACACTTATTTTCCCTGCTCTGGGTCGTTGCTATGGAATTAAGGTCTTTCGCCTTCTCTTCTCAAAGAGGGCTCCAATCAACTACAAACCCCATGAGATGCAGCCGTGGCAGAGAAAAGTGGAATAATACTGATATACCAGCGTGATAAGGAAGTTCGGCTTCATGAGATGCGAACTTTACAAGCTGACACATTTTGTTCCTGTGGTGTCATCCTATATAACACAATAATAATAGTAAAACTTTATTCGTACCCCTCCATCATCTCCCCAAGGGGACTTGGGCCAAGCCCAACAATACAGCAATACAATTATACACATAGGAATACAACAGTAAAATATAAAGAAAAAATGCGAGAAACAATATAAATAAGCACAACAAACAATATAAAATCACAATAATTGAACACAAAAATTGATCACAGTGGGACACTAGTTGTCCAATGGGCACTGGATGGAAATGTATGTTTGTAGCCCAAAAATGGGCAAACTTGGACCCTCTGGGAGTTTTGGACTTCAACTTCCACAATTCCTAACAGCCTCAGTCCCTTTCCTTTTCCCCCTCGGCTGTTGTAGCCACATGGCAGAATTATAGCAGTTTGACACCACTTTAACTGCCATGGCTCAATGCTGTTGAAATTCAGGGATTGCAAGATGTTTCGCCTTCTCATCACTACCTCATCACACTAGAGAATGAATCCACTTTAAATCCAGTTTCTGCCTCCTTCAGAATTCTGGGGTTTGTAGTTTAGTGAGGCTGTTAGTAGCTCCTCCCTAAACTACAAACCCCAGAATTCTGCAGGAGGAAGCAACCATATTTAAAGTGGATTCATTCTTTAGTGCGATGAGGTCCTCCGACAGAAAGCTCTGGTGCCACAGTAAACCTTACATTCCAGCAAACCATTTTTTTATGCTCTCGAAGACTTTCATGGCCGGAAACACTGGATTGGGGTGAGTTTTCCATGCTCTATGGCCACATTCCAGAATCATTCTCTTCTGACGTTTCACCTACATCCATAGGAGGCATCCTCAGAGGTTGGGAGGGGATTTTTTGTGGTGTTGAATTCTTTCATGGCTGGAATCACTGGGTTGCTGTGTGTTTTCGACACTTTATGGCCATGTTCCAGAAGCATTATCTTCTTCCATTTCACCCATATCTATAGCAGGCATCCTCAGAGATTATGAGGGTTTTTTTTTTAAACTAGGCGAAAGTGGGGTTTATATATTTGTGGAATGCCGAGGTTGGCAGAAAGAACTCTTGTCGGCTTGAGCCACGTGTGAATGTTGCAATTGATCACCTTGATTTGTTTTTATTATGTTTTATACTGCTGTTATGTATTTTAGTGTGTTAATATTTTAACTGTGTTTTTTGGGTTTGGCCCCATTTAAGCTGCCCCGAGTCTCTTCGAGGTGATGGAGGCAGAGTACAAAAAAAGTAGTAGTAGTAGTAGTAGTAATTATTATTATTAATTAGCATTGAATAACCTTGCAGTTTCAAGGATTGACTGCTTCCTGCCTGGGGGACAAGTCTATATATGAACCACTAAACACAGAGCCCAAACATGAATAAAAGAACATGAAAGGCACTGTAGGTTAATTCAACCGGAGAAGTCGGCCATAGTAGATCACTTGATGAACCAACCTAGACACAGCATATTATTTGAGAACACAGAAATGCTGGACCACTCTAACAAATACCATGTTGGAATACACAGAGAAGCCACTGAAATCCACAAGCATGTGGACAATTTCAACAGAAAGAAGGAAACCATGAAAATGAACAAAATATGGCTACCAGTATTTTAAAAACTCCAAGATCAAGACAGTAAATAGATAGAAACATTCAAAAACAGGGGAATTCCAGACAAGAATCAATCAGGGCCAGCTAATCACCTCCCAACAAAGGATTTCCCAGGCAGGAAACAGCCAAGCCTTGAAGCGGCAAGGCTATTCAATGCTAATCAAGGTGATCAGTTGCAGCCTTCAAACTTTCCTCAAACAGACAAGAGTTCTTTCTCCCACCCTGGAAATTCCACAGATAGATAAACTTCCAACAGACCTCACAACCTCTGAGGATGCCTGCCATGTGGGTGAAATATCAGGAAAGAATGCTTCTGGAACATGCCTATACAAGCCCACAAAACTCACAGCAAGCCATATTTTTTCCCCTAAAAGTGGAATCAAAGAGCTGTACATTTTTTGGTGTGACTAATATTGCTATTAAGTGGGGTCTTTGCTGACTAGGCTGCTGTGATGAGAATGAGGGCAAAGGTCTCTATTTAATCACACATGCTCTCCGCAGAAGTAAGATAAGGGACATGCTCCTGTAAGGACGTAGAGTAATATTGACTCATATTATGGCGAGGGCTGTATCAAGAGATTCAAGGGGAGGATTGAAGACTGGCTCTGCAAAGAAGGGGGCTAGCTCTTGGTTACATGAGCAGACCTTGGGCTGTGAGACCAATGTGTGCTAGGTTGTTGTCCATAAGAAGTAAATCAATTACAAAATGGATCCAGTTGAAACATTCATGTGTCTAACCCTGTGGCTTCAAGGTGTCACAATGCTGTTTTGGCTAGCTGGTTCCATGTCCTGAATTCTTAGGCTTGAAGGCTGCAATTCTGTACAAACTTGCCTTGCAGTGGGTTCCATGGAATGTAGTGAGATTTTCTCTTGAGTAGAAGGGTAGAAGAATTGCACTGTTGTCGAAGGCTTTCATGATTTGCTATGAGTTTTCTAGGCTGTATGACAATGTTCCAGAAGCATTCTGTCCTGACGTTTCACCCACATCTATGGCAGCCATCCTCACAGATTTTTTATTCCAACAGACCTCACAACCTCTGAGGATGCTGGCCATAGATGTGGGCAAAACATCACGAGAGAATGCTCCTGGAACATGGACATACAGCCCGGAAAACTCACAGCAAACCAATTGCACTGTTTATTTACTCTGTTTTGGCTGGCTTCAGGAAACAAAAGCAGGCAAACACCCAATACTCACCCACATCCTGGTTCCAAGGCCCACTTCGTTTCTGTCTCCCTATTTTCAGGCAGCTACAAAATAGTTTCATTGTCTTGCTTTTCATTGAAATGCAACACAATACAATCCTGGGAGCCTTTTACATTTTTACAAAAGAGTGGGTTAAAATAAAACAAGAACTACTACAGCTGCTACATTTTTATTTAAACAAAGTTTTCAGGGGGTTGAATCTTATATTTGTTCAAGGCCTAAGGTCCAATGTTGCAGTTGCAGAGCCAAAAAAGTAGAGATGGGAACATTGATGTACATTTTTTCCTCTTTGATTTCAATCGAAATTTGAGGATCAAAATGGCTTCTGTGATAGGAAAAAGGACAGCTGGCACTAAGGGCAGTTGGAGACATTTCTAGAAAGGGATTGTATGCAAAGGTGGATATAGAAGTATCTTGTGAATTATTTTAGGATTGAAAGTCTTCTTTTAGAATATATTTATAGTGGTGTACATTCAGCCTCTTGCATCAGAAATCTAGTACAGTAGAGTCTTGCTTACCCAAACTAAATGGGCCGGCAGAACGTTGGATAAGCGAACACAGAAGGTTTAAAAAAGTAACAATTATATAATCACCTAATCGCATAATCTCATAGCCGTTTCCCATTATCATAACAGTCGTCAGTCCAATTCCATGTTCGGAATACTTCTGCGCCTCTGTACTTTTTTTTTAATACAGAGGAATCATTTGATGGGAGGTTTTGGAATATTTTCCTAGGATCATAATTAGTCGTTGTCTTCTACACTTTCAAATTTTATTGGTGTGGTGAGAGAAAAATATTTAATGTCAATGTGATTACTGCAGAACCTTGCTAACAATTAAAATCACTCACAAGGAAATCTTGGAAATTTCTTTAATGCAAGGTTACTACTACATGGGTGAGTTTTCAATTCAATACCCCCCCACCACCACCACCAAAGCCCCACCTCCTCAGCTCCTAAAAGTTGCCTCCAGGTCTTCCAGTCTGAGCTGGTTCCTCTTATCAGGCTGTTTCCCCCATAGAGCCCCAGATGTTTTCACTCTGTTTTCATTCTGCTTTCATTCCTCAGCCTTGCCTCTGAAGGTGTCCTGATGTCTTGAACACACCAGATATAAAGAGTCCATGACATTTTATATGTTTAAAATTGAAAGAGAGGTACAGGCAGTCCCCAAGTTACAAACATTGGACTCATAGTTAAGAATGAGGGTGAGACAACAGGAAGTGAGAGAAATCTACCCCTCAAAGGGGACATTCAATCCAGAGAGCATTTTCATGGGGAAGAGTGGTCTCCACTGAAGCTTTATCACCAACAAGCCATTAGTTTTCAAAATCCAATTAACACAGGGACAGAAAGTGAGGTGAACTCTTCTGAACAGGGACACAAACAGCAAAACAAATACCACCTTTTCCTATTCTATTCTATCCAACCCATCTATATTGGGCTGCAGTTACACTTAAAAATGTACCTGATCCAACTTACACACAAATTTAACTTAAGGACAAACCTACAGAAGTTATCTTATTCATCACTTGGGACTGCCCGTACTTGTAATAGCTCTATCAGGGGAAATGTAGTGTCATTTCAAGAGTGCCCATAAATGTTGCCAAGAATTTTAGAGCCTCAAAGTCCTTTCATGCCACACAAGAACTATAATGGTTCCATTATAAAGCTGTGATTCCACTTTGACTGTCATGGTCCCATTCTATGGAATTTTGGGATTCAAAGTTTACAGAAGAGTGTTGTTGAAGGCTTTCATGACTGGAATCACTGGGTTGCTGTGAATTTTCCGGGCTCTATGACCATATTCCAGAAGCATTCTCTCCTGACCTTTTGCCCACATCTATGTAGGCATCCTCAGAGGTTGTAAGGTCTATTGGAAACTAGGCAATTGGGGTTTATTTATTTGTGGAATGTTCAGAGAGAGAAAGAACTGTTTGAGGAGGGAAGGTAATGTGAAAATGTGAGTAGATCAATAGGCAGCACTTTGGCGGGAAGGTAATGGCGCTCCATGCAGTCATTCCAGCCACATGATCTTGGAGGCGTTTGCGGACAACGCCGACTCTTCGGCTTAGAAATGGAGATGAGCACCACTCCCCAGAGTCAGACACTACTAGATTTAATGTCAAGGGGAAACCTTTACCTTTAATAGTCCCTTTGAGGGTGCAGCTGCAGAGACAGGTGAAGTGTCACCCTGCCTGCAGAGCAGTACCAAAAGATGGAGAACAGGGGAGTGAATTCCCTCCACTACCTACCTGCCCTCTTTCCTTGGTGCTGTGGGGCTTGACTTGGCTCCCAGTCAAGTCGATCTCCATAGTAGCAGAAAAGGGGGGGGGGGCAGATGGGCTGGGGAGTGCCTGCCTTTTTTGTCTTTTGGGACGATGAGGCTTGACTCAATTGGGAGGTGAGTCAAGTCCTATAGCTCCAAAAGGACAGTCACACCCTAAATTCACTTGCCCGCACAAGTAAGCTAAGTGTACGACCATTATGTGGGGAAGAGAGAAATACCAATTTTGCCTTCTCCAAAAGGGGTGTGTGATTATTATCAGGTGAAATATGGTAAATGAAAAGAACATGCATTTAAGCTTCCAGTTAACATGATAAAAGTTGCAAATCGTTTTGGGACACTGGAATTTCTTGCACATTGTTTGAAATATTTCCCCCTTCCCCTTCAAGAAGAAGAAGAAAGACTACAAGAGGGCACAGTATTTTGTATTTCAGGAAATAAACTCAGTCTCTCAAAGTGTGGCACTTTGCATAGTAATATTTCAGACTGATACAGCTATGTCTTTGAACACAAAGGGAAGCAGAAAAAAACTGTGTTCACTGTTATAAAACAATAAAGACTTCTAGATCTTGTGATATAAATTGATTAGTTTTTATGGTTCTTCTCAAAGCTTCTGTTTTGCTATGGTGGATTGATGTAGCCAACCCCCTGAAACCACCCCAGTTTTGCTTCTCATGCCAAATCTGGAGGAGACACTAAAGATAAACATTCAATTTGAACTAGATTTTTTCTTTTTTTGACTAATGAAAAATCCAACCAGAAAAGAAATATAAAAAAATATATAAATAAATTTGGTTTTTGGAAAGTTCCTCAATATTCAGGATTATTGGGGCATAAGCTTTGCAAAAATAGGAAGGAAACAACTCTGTCAGCAATAAGAAGAAAAGCATTATTATTATTATTATTATTATTATTATTATTATTATTATTATTAAACTTTATTTGTACCCCGATAGCATCTCCCGAAGGGCTCGATGCGGCTTACAAAGGCCAAGGCCTCAAACATAGATTTTATATCACTGAATAAAATTAATGTTAATGGTTGGAATGAAAAATAGGCTTTTAAAAGAAATTGAGTACTCCTTTAAGTGCTACAAACTATGAACTGTGTTTTTAACTATATTGTATCTATTTTAGTTTGTAAACTACCTTGATTAACCATCTTGGATGGAAAGCTGGGATAAAGTGAATAACAATAACAAAGCAAGTAAAAAACAAAAACAAGCAAAGAACCGTGTGATGAAAGATAACAATATATCCAATCATAAAAACAGATTAAGTATATAGGTGGCAACGTCGAGATAACATTTTCAAAGGCTAGCATGGTGTCTCTCATAGTTTTGGAATGAGGCACTCTTTTATATGCTACAAGCTGTGAAGGTGACCAAACTGTTTTAACTACAGAAGACTCACAGTTAGTTGGAACTCAAGCAACCAGAACTCTCAAACAGCTAGCAAAAAAAATAATTTAAAAAAATCAAATAAATAATACCGCATTCACAAAGCTGCTATTATATAATACAGTAAAACTGTGATGTATTAAGTTTGCATGTGTATTAATTTGCTTTTAATTACTGTATTTCAGTATTAATATCAGGCAAATACAGAATTCATGTCTGGTATAGTATAGCATACAAACAACCAGAAATTACATCTATCCAGCATCTACCAATCCTCAAGGGTTCCGGTTAACTGAGAGTCTACTGTATGTTAGATCTGTTTTTATTTGATTCGCCATCCTAGAGGGGCAAGTCAGGATGTAAACAAAATGTTATATCCTTATGTGATTATGTGTTGCCAAAGGCTTTAATGGCTGGAATTACTGGGTTGCTGTGAGTTTTCTGGGCTGTATGGCCATGTTCCAGAAGCATTCTCTCCTGACGCTTCACCCACAACTATGGCAGCCATCCTCAGAAGTTGTGAGGTCTGTTGGAAACTGAGCAAGTGAGGTTTATATGTCTGTAGAATGACCAGGGTGGGAGAAAACTCTTGTCTGTTTGAGGCAAGTGTGAATGTTGCAATTGGCCAGCTTGATTAGTATTAATAGCCTGGCAGCTTCAAAGCCTGGCTGCTTTCTGCCTGGGGAAATCCTTTAGCTGGCCCTGATTGTTTCCTGTCTGGAATTATCCTCTTTTCTGAATGTTGCTCTTTGTTTACTGTTCTGATTCTAGAGATGTTTTTTTATAATATTGGTAGCCAGATTTTGTTCATTTTCATGGTTTCCTCCTTTCTGTTGAAATTGTCCACATGCTTGTGGATTTCAATGGCTTCTCTGTGTAGTCTGACATGGTGGTTGTTAGAGTGGTCCAGCATTTCTGTGTTCTCAAATAAAATGCTGTGTCCTGGTTGGTTCATCAAGTGCTCTGCTATGGCTGACTTCTCTCGTTGGATTATCCTTATGTGATTGTTTGCATTGTTTTAAGTTGATTTTTAGACTGAAGGCAGGCCAAAAATATTTTAAGAAATAAAATACATGCATATATACATTAAATGGATTTTCCCCAACTGTTATCCTTTCTGAATAAACTTACGTTCAGTGCATGATGGAGGGGGATGTCTTGTGCTTACTAATAACACAGAGGGAACAGCAACCTTTCCTGCAGTAGTAGTCTTGCATGGGAAGGGGAAAAACATGCCTTAAACCTTTTTATCAACCTCCTGTATTTTTGCGATGGGCAGGAATGAATGGAGTGTTCTTTACTGGCTACATAATCCATCAAAGTAATCCTCAAAGAAGTAGCTCTGTTAATATCTGACAACATAAAATGAAGAAGGGGTAGATAGGAATGCAGTAGCATCTTTAAAACTGAGTATTATTTTAATATTAACATTTTCTTTTTCAGATGTAGTACAGTACAGTATTAAATCCTGACTATAAAATATATTCATACAGCGGTGGGAGCGGGATAGAATGTAATAGCACACAGAAAGGAGCAAATCATGTCCCTTGCTCTCAAATTTTAAAGGGCTTGGTGAAGTGATACAGGTCATTCTGATTTTTGGTCAGTTAGTGTTGATGTGTTAATCAGTCAATCTGGTAAGTAGATATACATTCTTACATTCTTAAAAGTGCTGCCATGTTTTCCCCTGTCTCTTCTGTCTTTTAATTCACCCAAATAATCCTATTCACTTTTTTGCTGTCTTCCTGCTATGTGTTGTTTCTCTGGGCAGGAATAATGCAAGAGGACCCAACTTCTCCTCTATACTCTACTCACTATCGATTTCTGGCAATGCTTCAATCAGTCAAAAGCATGTGATATTTGGAAGGGTAAGAGATGAGTATTTGATTGACTTTTCCCCATTTCATAGGTTGGGCAAGTTGTCGTAATGTGTATATATGTGTAATTATTTATGTGTCTTCAAATCACCTTTTGACTTATGGTGACTCCATGAATTTCCCAGAGTTTTATTAGTCGATGAATACTCAGAAATGGTTTTACCAGTTTCTTGCTCTGAAACGCAACCTGCATCACCTATTGGCAGGATCCTACCTATTGGCAGGATCTGGTGCCTTTAGGGTATTTAGAGCCCTTGTCTTGATAACTCCACATGAAGGACCTTATCACACTCAGGAAATGGTTTTCCTGTAGGCAATCTGTAACATTTGAGAACTGGATGCATACTGATACAGATGAACCAGATTATGCTCATTCCCATATCAAATGAAACAATGTGCCCAGACTCATCAGACGGCAGACAGATGACTCTTCCCAATCTGTAGGATGTGCCCCTACATCATTGTCTTCCCTTTTTTTGGGGAGGGGACAATGTGGGGGAACTCCGCTGCTTCCAAGTGTTGTTCAAACATCACATAATCTCATGAGCACTAACATTGTGTAGCTGCAGTTTCCCTCTTATCCAGTTTCCCGCCCATAATAATAATAATAATAATAATACTTTATTTGTACTCTGCTACCATCTCCCCAAGGGACTCGGTGCGGCTTACATGAGGCCGAGCCCACAATACAACAATAAACAATAACAACAATAATACAAAAAATAAATAAACTCATAAGCAAAAATAAGCAATAGACATTAACAATAACACGACGCGTGTGATCTATTGTCATCCAGCTTCCTATGGGTATAATCACACAGCAAAAGCTGAGCTTCTGATGAACCCAGGAAAACAAAGGATGGGTGAAGACACTTTCCAACTGATCTTTCAAAAGCTACTGGATGCATACTCTTTGTGTATAGTTGCAGATTAAAGGGGTCACGTGACATGTGGTCAAACTTGTAAGAGCTCATATGCAAAGAGTGTCAGAGACTGGATATTTCCCTTTGTGATAACATCCTAATTCAAGAAAAAAAATTAAACACCATATTTTCAGGGGAAATAATTGTGGTGAGGGTTTTTTTTTTGTTTTTTGTTATTCTGAATTAGAGAAGACATGTTAAATCAATTTACACAAAAGACCTGGACTCTTTTGGTAGATTTAACTACAGGACATTTATAGTTGGCACATCTCAAGTTTACCACTTGTGGAAAGAATTTTTAGGGAACCCCTGATTGCGACTACAATTTTTCTTCTCTTAGTCTAACAGTTGCTGGAAATTACCATTCTTTTGCTCCTTTGCTTGCTGTCTTACAGGGAAACAAGAAAATGACACTTACTGATCAGTACTGGAGGCCACCAAAAAAAGTTGGAGATCAGCCTAACCAGGGCCCAAGTGCAGATGGTGGGCTACCTCCCCGTCGGTTCCGTGTTAAGGACAGGTACAGAATAAATAGGAAATAGAGGGTGGCAGATTGAGGGAACAAATAGAATAAATTTGACAGGAAGTACAGAAAGAAAGAGATAATTTTTATCAAGGAAAGCTATCGTACCAAGCCCAGTTTATATTTATTCAGCCTCATAGAAAGCACTGACTAACATCTTCTAAATAACTAGAAACTATAGTGCCAAGAAAACACTATAATAAGTATTCTTTAGGGTTGTCATAGGTCATAATTGATTTGAAGGTACACAGCAACAACAAGCCTCACTAGTTTGATGCTATTGTCTTCCCATAAATATGTTAAGGAATGTATCTTTATTGTAGGGATAGGGAAAGTGTAACTTATGGCTGCATCCATCAAAGCCATGAGGAGTACCAATATTTCCATCCCTCCCAAAAGTCCTCATCACATTTCCTAGAGTATTGTCCACAAGGACTCCATTCCTCTCACACACATTGTGAGTGCCATCAGATCCCCTACGTACAATTTGGCAAAATGTCTGGCTGCACAGCTACAACCCTTTATTGAACTTACTACACATGCATTAAGGACTCATCCCACTTCATTGAGAAAATCAGCAATCTTAAACTCAAACCCAATGACAAACTGATCAGCTTTGATGTAGTGTCCCTATTCACCAAAGTCCTCATAACAGATAGCATGGTACTCATTAACCAGAACTTCCCAAAAAACATCACAGCCCTGTTTCATCATTGCCTCACTAAAAGCTACATCTAGTGGAACAATGAATTCTATGAACAGAAAAATGGGGTAACCATGGGGAGCCTTCTTAGCCCGGTAATAGCAAAATTTTATATGAAACACTTTGAGAAACAAGCTCCGGGAAACAGCAACAAAAAGCCCACTATATGCTTCTGTTATGTGGATGATACATTCACCATTTGGAGCCAGAGAGAAGAAGAACTAAACATGTTCTTGGACCATATCCACCCAAACATCTAATTGACTATGGAAAAAGAAAATGAAGGGAAAATGCCATATCTAGATGTCCTAGTCATTTGCAAACCAAACAAACAATTGGGCCACAAAATCCACAGAAAATCCACACATACCAATAGATATCTAAATAAAAACTCCAGTCATCACCCAGAATAAAAAAGAAACACATTTAAAACTCTGGTGAATTGTGCAAACAGAATCTGTGAACCCCTCCTCCTTCAAGGTGAACTGAACCACCTAAACTGGACTCTACAGGCTAATGGTTACTCTTCTGCAGACATCAGAAGAGCTGTAAGACTTAGAACAAACCACAAGAATAAAGATAAAGAGCCACCTAGAAGGCAGGTGTTCTTATCATATCATCACCGCATAGGAAAGGTGATGAAGAAGCATAATGCTATGGTCAACAAAGGATAAGAGGGATCCTCTAACTACTGCAGGAGTCTATCACATAACTGTGTAGCTGTGGACAAGTCTATATAGGGACTACCAAACGCAGCGCCCATACACAAATCAAAGAAAATGAAAAAAAGTTATAGGATATGTTCCTCAAATATCCCATGGACCTCTGCCACTTACCCTTTCTTGTAGCCATCAAGATAGTGATTTCAGCTTCTGAACTTTAGACAGGCTCATTATAGACTCTTGCCTTTTTAATTATTGCTTCTAGAATTTCCCATTTAGGATGAAGGTTGTTCACAGTGTCTAGAATGAAGTTGGATATTAGTGATCACATTGTACTGGTGCAATGCTAACCACATAGAGCCGTGCTGACTGGGGTACTGTAGAGGCTGCATTCCAAAAATACTTGTCACAAATGGTAGTCCTTGGGTTTAATGACAACATTGGCCTTGAACTCAAGGGCTTTTGAAATCCCCAAGGAAACCCTAACCAAGAATAGGGGCTTTGTAAAGTAAAAAAAAAAAAGTGGACTCTTCCAGGTACAAGCAGTTACAACCATCCAACTTTCAAATGACTCATAGTGAACAACAAAGGTGAAACCAAAGGAAGTGAGAGAAATCTACCCTTGGGAAGGGAAATTCACTCTTGAAAAAGTTACCATGGGGAAAAGGTGTCTCCACTGAAGCTTTCTCACCAACCTTTGTTGGTGAACCAAATTTTTCAAAATCCAATTATCACAGGGACAGAAAGTGAAGTGAAATCTTTTGAACAGGGACACAGATAGCACAACAAACACCACACCACTTTCTGTCCCTGTGATGATTTGATTTTGAAAAAAAATGGCTTGTTGTGGAAACAAGGATTGGTGAGAAAGCTTCACTGGAGACACCTTTTCCCCATGATAGCTCTTTCAGGAGTGAATCTCCCTTCCTACGAGTAGATTTCTCTCATCTCCTGTGGTCTCACCCCCATTGTTAATTATGAGTCATTTGTAAGTTTGTAACTCAGAGACTCCATGTAATTTATTTCTAATTTGATATTCAATAGTTACATTTGAGGCAGAGAGAGAAAGCGAGCTTTCTTTTTTAATACAGCATTGTTTTTAATACAAGATTATTTGGCTCGTGCAGTGCAGTTCTTCTGTTTGATGTCTTGTGCAGAAACAGCACACACATCTTTGGCATCTTTCTCTTAGCCCATTATAATCATGCATCCAAACAGCTTTGCCTTCACTATATTAGTTTACTTTTAACATGGTACTTTCAGTGACTGTTTCCTATACAACACAGTGAGTTCTTTCTTTGAAGACAATTGGTATCATCTGAGAACCTGTCGATCAAATCTGATCAGTATTGCTGCAGAGCAGTTGAGCTCAGTCCTACAAATGTTTCCTTGAGAAATTTTATGAGAAGTACTAATACTATTGTCTTTCCTCTCCAGAGCTGAATTTATCTCCAAGAAGAATGAAATTGACATAGTTTCTACATGTGATGTAGGTAATGGTAAAATCAGTTTCCACGTGTCTCCTAATAAGAGCGTTGAGATCCGGATTGAGGTAATCAATAATGGGACAAGTGACGTCACACTTTGCAAGTATCAAAAAATACCTAAACGGCGTGAATTCACCTTGAAGGCTTCTATAGTCCCACCTGTGAAAATACCACCAGGTAATTTCTGAATATCAGCATTTAGAAAAGCTACTTTTTTTCAGAATGCAACTCTGTGTAAGGTGCGGGGTGCTCTGAATTGGAGCAAAAAAATAAAAAAAAATGGACAGCTACCCTGCCTCTCTTGTGGTTTCTGATATAGACACTTTTTTTGTCTTCAGGGGCAAAGTATGAGATCCTGGTATGCTGTCTGACCCAGGATTATGGCTTCTTTGCTTTCACCCTGAAGTTTGAGTTCATGACTGAGCAGAATGAACGCTTTGTCATAGGACGTTTTGTGTCAGCTGTAGCCAATACCAAGTTAGCCGAACAGCTGCGTCCCACATCAACTTACCAACCATATCAAGTCAAACTATACAAACCTCAGTTTGTCACGATAGAAGATGGTGTCCCACCAAATAAGTAAGTGAGAGTTTGCTGGTATTTTCTGTTGCATTCTTTGTCTGAATTGTCCCTGCTCCTCTTACAAAGCACTTACCAGTTCCATAATCTTTCAGAACTCCATCCTTAACCACCCTTGCTGTGACCTATCTGCTTTTTTGTTTTCTGTAGTTTTACAAGAACTTTAGCCTTTTTCTGCCAATTACTGCTGGTTTATCATCAAACTACAAGTTGCATGATCCCATTTCATGGAATCATGGCAATCAAAGATGTCTCAGACTGCATTAATTGTGCAGTGTAGATAAGTGTGTATTAGTATTGCACACATATAGAAGTTTGAGACTTCCTTAAACTGTCATGACTCAGCCTTGTGCCATCTTGGGATTCTTACAGTGCCGAGCTATCTAAGAGTTATCTTTTTAGATGCTTCAAGTGTTGTTGTTTGATGGGCTCTGAGCTTGTTACAAACTAAAATCCCAGGATGCTGTGGGGTAGAGCCAAGACAGTTGAAGTGTTTGAGATATCTGTGTAGCGTGGATGCCCTTTAACTCCCCACCCACATTTTGTAGGTCTCAGCTTTCTGGAAATACTTATTTTTACAGCACCTTGCTTGCCATCAGCCAAATAGTTGTTTCTCCATATTTGCAATTTTGGCTTTTATGAATTTGATTATCCACACATTTGATTAAAATGTTCTGCCTCAGAATTTTGAGTTCCTCCTGTGTGATTCTGTGGTTACCTTCTTTTGGTCATGCTAGAAGACCTAGAGATTTATACAGAGAACCCCTTTCTAGTAATATTTAGGTCTGCAAGTGTGATTCAGATGTCAGCTTCCAATGGAATTTAACTGTAGAGTCATGCTGCAAGTTCTTGAATTTTCTAAAGAGGTGTTCTCTCGGATTTTTTTAAAAAACTAGTGATTTCTTTATTTAGTTTTTCAGTTTCACTAGGGTCATGTGCCCCTCAGTCCAGCTAATGTGGAGGGTGGACTGTAAATAGTAAATAATAAATCTGTGCTGATAAGTTAGGCTGGAGGAGTGTTAGAGTTAGAACTGTTGCTAATTTTTGGGTAGTCATATCATACTATGAGGAGTGGCTTAAAGAGCTGGGCATGTTTAGCCTGAAGAAGAGAAGGCTGAGAGGAGACATGATAGCCATGTATAAATATGTGAGAGGAAGTCATAGGGAGGAGGGAGCAAGCTTGTTTTCTGCTGCCCTGGAGACTAGGTGCAGAAGAATGGTTTCAAACTACAAGAAAGGAGATTCCACCTGAACAGGAGGAAGAACTTCCTGACTGTGAGAGCTGTTCAGCTATGGAACTCTCTGCCCCAGAGTGTGGGGAGTCTCCTTCTTTGGAGGCTTTTAAGCAGAAGCTGGATGGCCATCTGTCGGGGGTGCTTTGAATGCAATTTTCCTGCTTCTTGGCAGTGGGGTTGGACTGGATGGCCCATGAGGTCTCTTCCAACTCTATGATTCTATGATTCCATGATCCTCCTCTTGGCTCTTCCATAAAGTTTGTTGTACATTCTATCTTTACCAGAAGTAGCTAGTGCTTGCATGTATATAACTCACTTGCTGCTCATACAGTGATTCTCGCCAAGTGGGTAGACACAAAAAATGTTACAATGACATCTAAAGAAGTGGTTTGTGCTTGTGTATCTCATGATTGCATTTATACTTTGCTTTTCAACCAGGGCTATCATTGAAAATGGTGTATAATTTGCAGTTATAATAGAGATCCACATTGATATTTATGACTATCTCCTCTGGTTCTGGTTCCTGGCAATTTAAGTTGAAGTGGCCCTTTCTTCCACTGTAAAAGAGCAGAAGGAGTTTGCAGCTGGATTCTAGACTGGTAGATGATACATGTGTTACCTTGTATGAGGAAGACCTACATTCTTGGAAGGTTAAGATTAAAGGCAAAAATGTCCAAAGCATAGTTCTGGAAATTTATGTTGCCATTGAAGCTTTATTTGTGTTACATAATTCCTTCAAACTCCCTAGCTGGCCTTTTAAAAACTATTTTCTTGGAAGCATCAGGTAGTCGTCCACTTTTTATATAAGTTTTAATTGGCTCCAGATGCACAATTTGATATCAAAAAATGTCAGTTGATTTTCTGATGCAAAGGTTCCATTTTGTTTTCCGTTGTTGTTTTTCCCAAAGAAAAATTTGACATTTTGGCAGTCTGTGCAGATACAGAAAAACCCAAAGCACGGAATTGGTCTCAGTTTGCACTAGCTGCCATCCTTGTTTTAGGTCTCTTAAAAATTTAACCTACAATTCTTCTTAGACCTACCCACCACGGTCATCTTAAGAAGTAAACAGGCATTTTTTTATACACAGCATTTTTTAGAATAATTTTGTGCATATAACATACTTTGCGTACATTTGTGTACATTGAACCTTCAGAAGGCAAAGGTGTCACTAACCCAGCCATTCATGTGGACTGTTTGGAATTTTGGATCATTTTGGAGTTCCAAACAAGGGGTGCTCAGCCTGTATCCTTGTTACATTTGCCAATTGTTTGCTCTTCTGCACTAGTCTCTAATCAACACATTGATGCAATGCCACCTTCTTCTTATTTTGCTTCCTTAGCTTTTCTAAATTTGATACAAAACTAATAACTCCAAATACTTACAAATACTCACCAGACTTCAAGGATCTGGTTAAGTACCTGGCAGAAGGCTCTACACCCAGTAATGCCATCTGTGATAGAGTTGCTCAGATCAGGTAAGTGCCCAAGAAACAAGACATTCCTTTTCTTTGACTGCCTTTTTACTTCCCATTCATTGGTCCTTTTCAGGAGTGGGTGACCAGTGGTTATGCTCGGGGGAGGGGGGGTGTCAGGAGCAACTTGAGAAACTGCAAGTCACTTCTGGTGTCAGAATTGGCCATCTGCAAGAATGTTGCCCAGGGGATACCCAGATGTTTTACCATCCTTTGAGAGACTTCTCACATGTCCCCACATGAGAAGCAAGGTGGGATATAAAATAATGAAATAATAACTGCACAGCAGTAACAATATATGCTGTACATATACTTTATAGAGGTGTGAAAGCCATCAAAGAGATAACAAAAGTCAAGTTAGAGCAGTGGTTCTCAACCTGTGGGTCCCCAGGTATTTTGGCCTGCAACTCCTAGAAAACCCAGCCAGTTTACCAGCTGTTAGGATTTCTGGGAGTTGAAGGCCAAAACATCTGGGGACCCACAGGTTGAGAACCACTAAGTTAGAGCCTTGCCTCTTCTGTCATATATTAGTAGGAACTCCCAAGCATGTAGATTTAGAGTGATTAGATTTCAAATTACCCCATTAAGATGAATGAGCTGGATGCTATTTTGTACTTACACAGAAATGATCTGGAAGCTCCCCTCCAGTTTGACAACTATTCTAGCAAGTTTTGCCTGCTCCTTCACCTGGAAGAGCTCCAAATGGAAGTGGACATCCGCAGATATGATATGCTTGGTGTTCCTATGGTTGCTGATCGGGATCTCCTTGTCCTGAATGTGAGTAAGATAGAATCGAGGGTTTGTAGAATAGTGGTTGAAGCAGAGATTAGAATTGTGCATCTCATTGGGAACCCCAGTATGGCCCTTCTCTGTAAAAATAACAAAAACAAAAGGATTTGTGGCTGAGACTCCGTTTGTTCTGATTCCCTGTTAATATGGGGAAAAAACCCAAACTGTCTCCCCAGAAGAAACCAGGAGTAAGAGAATGTCAGCTTTGTTGCCCAAATTGTTGGCCACAGTTGTGCTGTACATCACTCCATGGTCTTGGAGGAATGACTCAAAAGCCCTGGAATGTGACCACCTCAGGGCTGGCACCTTGGGATTGAATGGGAGAGATTTTTCTGATCATACTCAAATCTCAATTTTTGCCCTTTGGGTGTATTTCTGTTTCTCTGCTTACGTGACCTCTCTGGGTGGTTGAGATGCTAAATATTTACAGAGAAACCAAAGCCATAGCACGAGGATTTTACAATGAGCACGTTAAATCAGTTGAACGAGCATAGAAGTGAACAACTTCACACATACGACCAGATCTTAAGGTGCTGTAGCTTCTTCCACTATGATATCTCTGATTTTCCCCATTTTGTCATTTTTCTTTTGCTAACGCATAATTTTTAACTTTTTCAAAAACGGTTTTGTTCAAAATGTTCTATTGCATCCTGTAAGGCAGTTGCAAGGCAACTTTACCATACCCTTTGAACTGGATGTCTCTTGAGAGTTTCAGTAAACCCTCTTATGTCTGATAGAACCAGAAAGGGGCAAAAATGAAGGAGAATTGGACAAATCTACATAGGGACCACCAAACGCAGCGCCCAAACAAGAATCCAGGAACATGAAAGGCACGGCAGACTACTTCCACCAGAGAAGTCAGCCATAGCAGAGCACCTCATGAACCAACCTGGACACATTACTTTATTTGAGAACACACAAGTGCTGGACCACTCTCACAACCACCATGTCAGACTACACAGAGAAGCCATTGAAATCCACAAACATGTGGACAATTTCAACAGAAAGGAAGAAACCATGAAAATGAACAAAATCTGGCTACCAGTATTAAAAAATTCTAAAAGTGCAACAGCAAAAACAGCAGGGAGAAAAACAGGCAGGGACATCTAATCACCTTTCAAGAAGAGTTTGCTCCAGGCACAGTCAGCCCATTGTATGCTAATCAAGGTGGTCAGTTGAAAGATTCACACCTAGCCCAACTTACAAAAGCCTTTTGTCTCACCCTGGTCATTCCACAGGTATATAAACCCCTTTTTTCCCAGCTCCAGCAGACCTCACCTCTGAGGAAGCTTGCCATAGATGCAGGCGAAACGTCAGGAGAAATGCCTCTAGAACATGGCCATATAGCCCGAAAAAACCCACAAGAACTGAGTGATTCCGGCCATGAAAGCCTTCGACAATACAGAGAATTGCTTCCTTCTTGGGTAGAGGACAAGTTAAATAAGTTAAAATGGGAAGAGGTTTTGGCATACACAAAAATGATTCAGGGGACAATTTCCCCACTCCGGCTCTAGCAGTACACAGCTAGAGAAGGCGAGAGAAAGAAATAGACAAACTTTTTCTCTCATATACATCCTCCAACTATTCCTGTATCCCTTTCAGCGAATGTTTGGGTACACAAGAATAGAGTGCCTTTTTATTATTTCACACTGGCTCTGTCTTTTGCCTCAGGCTCCTGGTGTTGCTGAGAACCGCCCCTCAGTACTGAGAGGAGATCATCTTTTAGCAAGCTTGGCTGATGAGCAAGGACAGCTGCCCATTGTCCAGTATAAGGGCTATGTTCATGCTGTGGAGTTGGACAGACTAAAGCTGGGCTTCTCTGAAAAGTGAGTTCTTCATCTTGATGTTTGAGAGTCCTAGAAATGGTTATCAAATTGCCAGTTTCTACATCAAAATACATGTATTTTTGTGCAAAATGGGATGGACATTCAACCAGTAAAAGTTAGAATACTGCAAATCCGGAGAACATCCATGGACCTAGATATTGACTACCTTGAATAATGAGGTGTTTGGACACACAATCTGCTGGGCAAAGTTAAATCATCCATTAACAGTCAAACACTTGGAAAGAGAGGAAAAGATAGGAGGGGATGATCAAATCCTACTGAACTGTAGGCTGAATTAGAAGGCAGTTGAAGCTGGTGCCTGTGAATCCTTTATGGGAAAAAGTATTATTTTAACTACAGTTCTCATGGTCCTTCAGTCAGTATGGTAGTCTGAAAAGCAACTTCCAAACCACCAATCTACCTAACCCATCTTCCATAAAGCTTCCCTTAGCCAACTAGGCCAGGTCCTACAGGCTCTCTGACCAACCAACTTCACTACTGGCCCCATATAAGCCACCCCGAGTCCCTTCAGGGAGATGGAAGCAGGGTACAAAAATAAAGTTATTATTACTACTACTACTATGCCATTCTTACTTCCTTTTCAAGTTCTCCCAGCTTTCCTAATTCCAAAGGCAAGGTGGTTTAGCCTATGTCTAAGATAGGTTCCACACTTAGATAACCCCTGTAGAGTTTTGTTTGAATCCTGGAGCAGATTGATCTCTCCAGTGAGATTAACAGCATTATTGCAAAGCTGATCGGATGTGAGGAATTATTTAAGTCAAACCATGTTTTGAATGGAAGAGAATAAGAATAGAAAGCCTTGAGGGCTCATACAAGGAATAATGGGAGAAGTTGAAAAGGAATTAAGAATGGTGTAGTAGTGAAGTTGGTTGGTCAGAGTGCCTGTAGGACCTGGCCTAGTTGGCTAAGGGAAGCTTTAGATGAATTAAGTAGATTTGTGGTTTGGAAGTTGCTTTTCAGACTACTATGCTGACTGAAGGACCACGAGAACTGTAATTCAAAACAATCCTTTTTCAAAGCTTTGAAAGAGGTTGTTAAAGACATAGTACAAGAGAGAGTAAGCAATTTGCAAGTTGGAAAGTATGATATTACATTTGGCAGACTGCATGAGGAATTATCTAGGATGTGTTTATACATTCTTCTTTTCTCCAGACTGCTATACAAATTCATCAATAAAATGAAGTTCAATGTGACCTTCACCTTAAATCGTGTGCCATTACGCATCCAGCACCGTGCTGCTGAACTTGCCCAAGAGAAACAGCTGCACTACCTCCTTTTCCCATCTTTGTCTTATGGGAAATCACTACTTACTGTCAATCAACGCCTCAAGTGAGTAAATGGGATTGGAATGGGCAGGGGAAGACTGGACATGGGTTGAAGTCCCTTTTTGGCTTAGAGATATTCTGACAGTATTGGAGCTGTGGAGTCTGAACTAGCATTAACTTTGCTCCTTGCTGTGCCATTTGCTATCTCTTTTTCCCCTCTCTTTTCCATCATGCTAGTCTATATAATCCTAGCATTGAGAAAAACACTGAACAGAAGAAAGCTGTTTATCGAGTGGTAACAGGAACCTCCCGACCAGCCCCATACCTTATATTTGGACCACCAGGTACAGGCAAGACTGTCACCATAGTGGAGGCCATCAAGCAGGTGAGGAAAGTGCTTCATGTGCATGTAATTTGGGGAGATCTTATGGAAAGTAGCATTTTGGTCTACATCTTCTGTGGACTTCAGTTTCCCAATGACTGTGCTGTGGATTTGTGGTCCAAAAAAGTAACTTTTGTAACGTCTAGTTTTCAGGAAATGAAGCAGTCTTGCTTGGAATCACCCCTGTTGTGTTAATATACCTCAGTACCACAGGAACACATTTGGGGCCCACTATGATTCCACTTTGCTATGGCAATTACCTATGGAAATTTTGTAGTTTGAGAAGGCGCCAAAGCCTCATGCTGGGAATTATAAGTGCCCTTCCCTGAATTGGAAATCTGTATGATTGTTAATATAGAATCATAATGTTGTAATCACACAGTGTAAAAGAGCGCCTGATTTTGGAGGCTAAGCAAAGCCATGCATTAGAAATATTTGAATGGAAGAATCCTAGAAAACAGTGATGTGTAGGTAGGACTAAGAAAGAAGAGTAGAAAGCCTTTACTGCCAACCTGAGCTGAGGCTACTGGAATTGATGGATCCATAGTCTGACCCTGCATAAGACAGCTTCCTCTTTTGATTGTGGTCCATTCTCAAAATAACAATTGACCTCTAATGAAGCATGGAAGTGTGACATTTTAAAAAACCACATATCTCCTGTTTTTATTTTGCTTAGGTGTTGCACTGCATTGAGGGCTCCCATATCCTTGCTTGTGCCCCTTCCAACAGTGCCTCTGACCTACTCTGCCAGCTCCTTAGACCACATGTGGAAAAGAGGATTATGTACAGAATGAATGCCAGCAGCAGGGATTATGGCACAGTCCCTGAAGATATCAAGGTGGGTGATTGTTTCCTTTGTCCAAGATAAAGTTGCTTTTCTTGGATAGGGTTCTTTTTGTCAGGTGTCTGAAGACAGTAATGGAGTGGAAGCCCAATTAATTGAATTCAACCGATGTTGAATCCTGACGTGTTGTTTCTGAACTCAAGTGCATTGAGCTTTCAAGCCTTATCAAGTGTCTTCCAGCTGTTGTTGCTTCAGTTTTTTTATTCATTTGTGTCCTGCCATTTTATAAGCCCATTATACATAGAGCTTTATAAATGCTGATGACCTTGACCTAACAACACAAGCAAAATACTTTGAAACAGTTGAAATCCAACTTACTAATGCCTTGAAAGATCTCTCCAGTTACTACAAAGATAACCATCTGAAGCCTAACTCTGCCAAGACACAAGTGTGTGCTTTCCACCTATGCAGCCATAAAGCCAACAGGAAATTGAAAGTCACCTGGGAAGGTCAAGAGTTTGAACATTGTTTCCATCCTAAATATCTCGGTGTCACCTTAGGTCAAACACTAGCATATAGGAAATAATGCTTGAACACCAAGCACAAAGTAGCTGTATGCAATAACATCCTACAGAAACTTATTGGCAGCACATGGGGTTCAGACCCAAAATTAAATAAGAACATCAACCCTAGTCTTGTCTTACTCAACTGTCGAGTATGCCTGCCCTGCTTGGTACAAGTCTGCCCATCAAAGCAAGTGAACTACCACTCCTCTTGGCATCCCCCCAGCAACAGCAAGAGTATCCCTTTGGGCAGCTAAACCAGGAAATCCCAACTGGATGGCCCCCCATTAGGGTCTTCCTCCAGGGGCAAACCAAGAATGGGCAACTTGGAAGTCCCTGAACAGACTCAGAAGTGGAATGGGCAGATCAAAAGACAACCTGACAAAATGGCACTAAAATCCCACACCTTGTGTGACTGTGGAGCAGAACAGACATCTGTATGCTTGTCCACTGTGCCCTATCTCATGTACAGAGGAAGAGTTTTTGGAGGCCACAGACAATGCCATTGCTGTTGCCCATTTTTGGTCAAAGGATATTTAGCTCCCTGCACTTCTATTTTTATCAGTTTTATACTAATTTATGCGATGCTTTTGATACGAAATAAATAAATAAGCCAATTACAGCGACATCCTAAAATGTATCAGTGGGATGGACAGTCAGCAATTAAAATTTAGAATACCACAAACCCTGAGAATTCTGAAGTTTGTCAGACCAAAAAATGTTTTCAGATGCCAGCAAAAGCTTTCCTTCTCTTATGGCAGTGGTTCTCAGTCTGTGGGTCCCCAGATGTTTTGGCCTTCAACTCACAGAAATCCTAACAGCTGGTGAGCTGACCTCCTGAGGAATCCAGTCAAAGCCCCAAGGCCCAAACTGTGATGACCCCTTTGCCATGGTGGACCCGCTCCTTTTTTATGAATGTGACTTTTCTCAACCACTGTCTAATGGGGTGAAGGTGGAGTTCTGATGTCTGCAAAAGCCAAGAATGTCCTCTTCTTTGTTCCCACCAAACATGACAAAGGAGATAGTGGGATTGAGAGATATGCTTCCTCACAAGGTTTCAAACACATGGGAAAGTATAGTCATTTAGATTTCCTGTACCCAATCATTTAAAGCCCTAAACATCTAAGACTCAAGTAGCCACCAACCAACTGATATTTCATTATCAACACAATAACAGTTAGTAGAGTCCAGGGCCTACTCACAATGCTGAGCAGTCAATGACAGTACAGTCCTAGGCAGTAAGAAATAAAACTGGAATAAAGTAAATAAGTAGTCATTTTGCTGTCTGTTCATGATGTTAGAAACATGCTGCTGGCCAATAGTAGGAACTGCCTACTATGGTGGCAGTTCTGCGTGGTGTTAACCTACATCTGGTAGAGTCCTCCAAGGAGTTTCAGGTTTGCCCCCATATCATCTCATACAAAAGGAAGGCCTCTTTATGTCTTCAAGCTTGCACATTTTAGTACCAAAGATATTAATTACTGCTATTTCCAATAATTTCCCAGTAGTTTGAAGTTTTTACTAAAGTGTTTTGCGATGTTCCTCTGTAGCCCTTCTGCAACTGGGACAAGGAAAACAAATGCCCCGTCTTTCCCAAAAAAGAGGAGCTTCTAAAGTACCGGATCATCATCACTACTCTAGTGACAGCTGGAAGGTATGGAGAGTCCAGTACCAAGCAAAAATAGAACAAATTAAATTGGGATGAGAAAATGGTGATGACAGGTTTTCTTTTTACATAATGGGGAAGGCATAGTATGTTAGAAGAATTTGCTTATTTTTAAAAGATTTAAATAGGAAAATTCTCCTTCTTTTACAGTATGATGCCCATATCCCCAGGACTGGCATCCGTGGTTTTATTTCACACCACCTCCAATAAAACATTTCATCTCAAGGGATTTCCTAGGTCCACCAACATGGCTCTATATTATCATTGGGCTAGAAGGGTTTGGCAATATCCACACTTTCCTGTGTCAGTGTGGAATCCAGAAACATATTTCCCAGAGATGCAGATGCTGTACTATATTGCAAAAGAAAGAAAAGGAATGGAAGAAAATTTAAAATGTAGAAACATCCTTTCCCTTGCATGAGTTCCCTTGGATCTTGCATGAGTTTGATGTGGGAGAGCATATATTATAGAATTCCTTCTTACTAGATGGCCTTGAGACACTCACATTGTCAGCCTAATCAGCCTGTTAACTTGGCATTTTGGGGTTGAGAAGTTTGTCCTGGGAGAATCAAGCAGGAGGGAGAGGAAAAAGGAGTAGAAAAACAAAAGAATGTAGCAGAAAGTTATCTATCAGCTGCTCCCTGGAAGATAATGCAATTATGTTCTGTGGAGGAAAGTTTAAGTTCAGAACTTAAACCACAATAAAAACCTGCCTTTTTGACATGCCTACCCAGTTAATTTTAAACTATGAATTTTAAGATACCTTTTATTGATATGCATTATTTTAATGTATTTAGTATCAATAGCTATATAGTCTTGAGTGCTGTGGAAGGAGAATGAAGTAAGCATGGGAATAAATAAAGGGTAAGCGGAAAGTTGGAGAGTGTGTGAATCTGTGTTCAAGAGAGAGTAAAAGGGAGAGTGTGGCGTTTTTGGCTGTGCTTGAACATTTTTGCATATGGCAGTGGCACCTGAGAAGTGTGTGTGTGTGTGTGTATTTAGTACTTACAAAGCACACTTTGGGTGCATCTACACTATGAAATTGACCTGGCTCAATGTTATGGAACCATGGAAGATGTAGTTTTGGTGAAACACTAATTATTTGGCAGAGAAGTCAAACTACAGTTCTCATGATTTCATAGCAATGAGCCATGGCAATAAAAGTGACATCAAACTGTATTGATTTTGTATCTAAAGGCACTCTTCATCTGATTGCCCTTCACCTGTTATGATGAATATTCTGTCCTAACTGTCTTCTGGTCTCTCTTGGCTAGATTGGTCTCAGCTGATTTCCCTCCTGGACACTTTTCACATGTTTTCATTGATGAGAGTGGCTATGCTGTCGAAACTGAGAGTCTAATTGCTATTGCAGGTGAGTTGCTATACTCTTGCACAGAATACTTTGGTTCACTTAAAGTACATTGTGGATCTCGTATGTTGTCTCCCTGCCAATGTATTTCCAGATGTTTCAGGGTGTTACTCCTCCTCCACTGGCCCAGAAGGCCCTGAGAAATGTCCTTCAATGTGTTTAAACAGGATTTGGCTTATCTTGTTTGTTTTTCCATGTTTCTCAAAACACATTCCTAGTCTTGTAAATTATTGGGATCTAAGCATAATTAATGAAACTTCACACAAAGGCTGATGAGACTACATAACTCACGTACCTGCTTAGGGCCCAGATTAACTCCCATCATTTCCTCCTTTCTAGGTATCCTAGCCACAATGGACCCAAAGTCTAATCCTAAAGGTGGCCAACTGGTTTTGGCAGGGGATCCCATGCAACTGGGACCAGTCTTGAGGTCTCCTCTGGCTATTGAACATGGCTTGGGTGAGTGAGAAGCTAATGGCGGTCTGCAGCATGTTGCAGACCTATGGTAAACTTGCATTTTTTTTCAGTGGCAGGTTAGTTACCTGCTCCTCATGGGGAACTGTCACAGTCAGTCCTTCACATTTGCTGGGGTTAAGAACACAGGACCTTTGTGGGAAAGCATCCATTTGTTTTACCTGAGATAACATCTCTCTAGGCCTTCCAGTGTTTCTATCATCTGTGTCCACCAAAGGTTGACCATAGAGCTGTGCTGGAGGGCCTAAAGATTCTTAGAACAACCATATTAATTAAATCTATGAAAAATCCAATCTGCACAAGTCAAACTTGTAAATGTGGAAGGCTAAACGTGGAAGTGCTGTGCTGGAGGACCTAAATGATTCCTAGAACGACTGTTACTTAAATCCATGAATGAGCAAATCCACAAAAATCAAACCCACAAATGTGGAGGGCTGATTCTAATCAACTTTTATGCTAGAACTCTCAAATAGAAACCCTACTAGGAGTCATCTGCTCCTCCAGATGTGATTGAATCACAATTCCAAGCATTACAACGGGTTGTGCTGACACCTGTAGGCCAGCACAACTGGAGAGTCCGACAATTACTGCTTTATACCTTCCAGGTTTTAAAGTGATCAGTGCTTCTTTCAATGGGGTCATCTCTGTGGAGATAAAACCAGTGAATAATTCCTATATCAATCTGTCTTTAGGGCCCAATACATCCAGTGGTTGCAGCCATGGCAGGGTATGCACTCAATGTAGTCATTTGTTTTTGTGCCCATGTTATTTGGGATTATTTTGAGACACTCCTCCCCAAAACTTAACCTCCTTCAAATGTGCCTGGTTGCAATCCCCATCATGAACATGGCTGGAGATGATGGCAGCTGCAGTCCAGCACCTCTGGTTTAGTGGAAGCAGATGTATGCATACCAGCAAAAGGTCTGTAATGCAGAGAGTCTTGGTCAGTGTTTTAAATCCATGTCAGCAACATGAGCGTGCTTGCCAAATGCATGAGCACCTTTCGGGATACAGACATTAATTTGTCCTTCATGCTGATGTGAGATAAATTTGAGAAAAAGGCAGCTGGGAGAGCACACAAGTCAGGTCCCTTCACATTAACTTACAAGCTCTGCTATTTTAGGGCTTTCCTTGCTGGAGCGGCTGATGCAGCAGAACTCACTGTACCAGAAGAAGGATGGGATCTACAATGCACAATTTGTGACCAAGCTGTTGCGGAACTATAGGTAATCTCATGCTCTGCCATGGATTTCCAGCAGGGGGAGGAGGAGAGGCACATTGGTCTCTGTTTCTTTCAAGGCAGCTTTCAATTTGCCAGGGATTTCATTGCATCTTGTGTTGAACAAGCAGGGTTCCTGGCTACTTTTGCTCTAGTTTAGGAAGAAAGCTCTAGCCCACTAACTGGGAAATATTTTTTAAAAATAGTGTTGCAAATTCCTGTGTTAGACATTCTCCAAATATAAATCAAATTGGGCAAAAGGACTACAACTTCCCATTCATAGTTTTCATTTCAAACACTGGAAAAACTTTTGTAATCTGTGTGCTTAGTAGTATGATTGCAGAAGAGTGAAGATGGGTACAGATAAATGCAGCATATTAAGTGTTCTATGAAATGTTTACCTTAATCTTTCTTGCAACCCCCTTATTTGTTTCATTTGTACAGGACCTTTCTACCAGAGTAAGACCTAAGGAGGATCCCAAAGGAAGTCAATTGAAAAACCTTATTAGTATTTTAAAAAACAATTAAACATTTAAAAGACTACAACAAAAATATAAACACCTGTGGCACTAATAATCTCCCTTATGTACACATGAAAAGGCTGCTTAAACAGAAAGCACCAAGTGAAGTATTCTTCCAGCTTAGCAGATGGAGAGTGAGGCTGCAGGAATGACATTAAAAATGGTAGTGGATTCATTTAAAATAGAGGGAAATTGTTTCCTTGTCATTGAAATTGGATTTTGGAAATGTACATTTGCAGACCTGTGGCACAGAGGAACCTTATGAGTGTGTGAAAAGACTTGAGGACCTACCTAAGGAGTTAGGGCAGGATTAGCAGCCAAATTTCTGGCAGAAAAATGTGTCAAAAAAGATGATGATGATGATGATGATGACAATAATAACATGATATTCTTCCCTATCACCCCAAAGGGACTCAGGGCAGCTTCCAACAAAAAATGGCAAACATGCAATGTCATTATACACTGAATAAAGACAATATAAACAACCCTACCTACTCCCAAAAGTAAATTCATAACTATAATAAAGTAACCAATAAATAACATTAAATAATAACATAACAAGATGACCACAATATATCTAACATTAAACACAGACCTAAGTCTAGCCAAGTCCAAAAATACTTATAAAGTTGTTAAAATTATTAAAGAAAAATACAAGAAGTGACCCAATACTCCCAATTTTTCTTGTATGAAAAGGAGCTTGTATCATTGGAACTAAACGAGCCTGCACACTGTCCACTAGCAGAAAGCTGGGGGAAGGAGCATTTGATTTTTGCAGGCTGCTAAATGGAAGTAAAGAAAAATAGAGGAGTATATTATTCAGACTGGAATGTGTATGTTTTGTTTACATTGCACTTGCCAGGAAAGTGAAGGCTAATGCATAATTTGTGCCCAAAAATCTATGAGAGACTCATGCTTAAGATGAACTATGACACCTTTCTTAATTGTGTAGGATTGTCAGGATACTGGATTGCTATAAGAAAGGCATTCTGTGTGTGTTCAGACACTTTTAGTCTTGCAGGTAGTAATAAATCTAGCTACCTAACCCAAATGTAATTTATCCATCCCTACTCTGCTGTAGAAGAACAATGTGAAACCATAGGTTCAGAGTCCCATTCTATGAGAGATGTGAACAGAAAACGTTGTCCTTCTCTGTGTCACAGACACTTTGCACTGGTTTGTGTGCTAACATACCATCTTCCACCCTAGATCCCATGCTGCCATTCTCAAATTTCCCAATGACAAGTTTTATGATGGGGAGCTGCAGGAACATGGTGACCATTGCATCACTCATTCTTACTGTAAATGGAAAGAACTTGTTCAAAAGGTGAGGAAGGAGTAAGTCTGAATGAGCCTGTTCTAGCCTGTTCTATAAATATGGGCCCTGAGTTGCAATTGTCCTTACAGGGATTTCCCATCATCTTTCATGGAGTCTGTGGAGAAGACCAGCGTGAAGCGAGGAGCCCTTCCTTTTTCAACACTGCTGAGGTTGTTGTTCTGATCAACTACCTGAGGAAACTGCTTCTAGAAGACCAAGGCAAGAAAGGCCAGTCCCGAATTCTTCCCAAAGAAATTGGTGTCATCTCACCATACAGGAAACAGGTGAGGTGTTCTATTGGTTTGGACTGACTAAATAAGAGTCTCCAAGTTTGGAATCATTACTTGCTTGGACCTCTGGCTATGCTGGCTTGGAATTGTGGAAATTACAATACAAATTGCTAACTTTCCCAGGTTTGGGATTGTTTTTTAAAAGGTGTGCTAACTTGAGACTTGTCATAAGTCTCTGGAAGGTTCATTTCAAAGTCAGGGTGAGCGCCTGACCTTTAGCCAAGCTTCTGCCTACCTAGCAGTTTGAAAACAAATGTGGGTAGATAAATAAGAATCACATTAAAGCGGGGAGGTATTTTAGACACAGCGTTTTATTCAGAAAATGGAGAAAGTTTACAAACAAAGAAAGCTCTTCAGCAAGGAGATTGAGTGACATCACCATCCTGTGGTCGGAACTGAGCATAGCCTCCAAAGATGCCAAAAGATGGGAAAAGCCTATATACAACTCTGTTGTCTGTCTTGTCATTGTATAATCAGCATTGAATGCTTGCCATATATGTGTTCTGTGATCCACCCTGAGTCCCCTTTGGAGTAAGAAGGGCGGAATATAAATACTGTAAATAAATAAGATCAGAATGTTTTCCACACCAGGTACAGTAGGGCCTCCACTATTTCAAGGGATAGGGGTGCAGGATTTCATGAAAGAAGAAAAAAATTCACATTTGAAAGAAAAATCTGGGATAGCACTTTTTTAAAGAACCATTAAGTCCTCCACAGTGTCTTTATGATGAAATTCTTTTGAAAAATCATCAAGTAATCCAAGAAATTCTTAAATTCTTACATACCAGCTTCAAGCCAGAACTCCTATTACTAAGATTCTTGCATGATCAAATACAAAATGAACAATACAGAATACTGCAGTACATGTTAACAGCAGCAAAAATTTTGTATGCTCAATGATGAAAAAACCCTGAGTTTATTTCAATATTTTCCGGCTCTCACATTTTCTACAGGGATTTATGAATTACTGGCATTGCTTCTTGTCTCCCTAGGTTGAGAAAATAAAATATGCTATTCATCTAGAAACAGAACTCAAAAATCTCAACAATATCAAGGATTTGAAGGTGAGATGTTTTGTCAGCTGTGATATGAGAAATACAGTTGAGCTAAATGCACATGCTCTTAAATAAAAGGACTTTGGAGTGTTATTTTTAAGGAGAGTGGATTTAATAGCACTCTGAACAATGATAAAATTATATTCTGGAGCCAATGGGTAATTATATTCATTCATCTTAAATATAATCTTTCATACTTTGGATGGATTTGATATGCTTCTAATTGAGGACATTTCTGTTCAGTTTTAATTCACTGGATACTCTAGAAAAGCCCACACAAGGTTTTATATGACTGGATAAGGCTGTAGATGCAACTTGCCATTTCTGTTATGATTCTTAGCTAATTCTAAGGCCATTGAAATTTCATGACTCCCAGTCCTGATCTGCTAGGAGGAGGAAGGCATACTCCTAAATTATGTAACTTGAGAGACAGTGCATTTTGATCTTTGGAGTCTGAATGTTTCCAATCTCAGTCTCTGTTATTTAACTGTTACCTTCTTCCATTCTCCCAGGTGGGCTCTGTAGAGGAATTCCAGGGTCAGGAACGGCGTGTGGTGCTCATTTCAACAGTGCGTAGCAGCAATCATTACTTAGGGTTTGATGAAGACTTCAAACTTGGTTTCCTCAAGAACCCCAAGGTAAAATCATTGTGTATCATCTTGATCACACACTGCTTTGATACTTTTGCTTTGAAATTCATGACATGCCTTCCCCTATGCAAAAGGATTTGTTCATTGTTTCTGTCTTGTGGCTCTGCCATTATAGCATGATGGGGTTGTGAATTGTATTCCAATTCCTGCCTTATTCAGAAGTGTGAGTAATGTCTGAGCAGAAGTTAACGAAGTTTATTTTCCTTGCACTGATACCTAGAAGCTGGCACTATGGTCCTGTTAAGACTGCCATCTTGGATTATTGGCCTGCTTAGATGGTACAGAGAATGAGATTGCCTCTCCTAGAAACCTCTCTCTCACACAGACAAATCTGAATGGTTTTAGCTTCCATTGCCCCTCTGAATCGTAGGGATCCTATTGTGTCTTGGGATGCCTAACATGATCCTCTTAACTTGGCCCTGTGAATCTGCCTTTGCCTTTTCTCAGTGTTCTCAAATAAAAGCTGCTTTTGAAAAAGCAACAAGAAGGTCCAGTTAACAGTATAGGATCAAAGAGTACTTTTCTGAGAGCAGTGATTGGCATTTTTCTCAAATGGATGCTATACTTTTTCATAGTAGATAGAGCATATCATTCTTTTTTCTGATTTATTTTCTCCATCTTTAGCGTTTCAATGTGGCTGTTACACGAGCCAAGGCACTTCTGATAATTGTAGGGAATCCAATGACTCTTGCCAAAGATGAATATTGGGCTGGGTAAGTATTGCCCTTCATTTCCCTAAAGCCCTTTCCCAATTGTAATCCAAACCCTTTCAAGAAAAAGTTTCTCCCATCCCTCTGCTGTCAATCCAAGTATTCTTAAAAATATGGGGCTTGAGTTTGCTTGAGTTTTACCCAGCGGAGAGTGAGTTCTTCTGTTGAGCAGTTCTCCTTAGTGCATTTCTTTCTGTTCTGGAAGTCAGCCTGGTATCACAGCAGTTGTTAATATTTTTATTGGGTTGAAAAAATACATTTCTCCATACAGTGTTAACCGTGCAGCAAATCCAGTAGTTGTTACATAGTGCCATAAACCACTGGGAGTTGCAAGATAATATAGTGACTATTGAAGTCTCTAAGCAGATAATGTTCAGATGAAATATTAGCCCTCGGGAGTTTTCTACCAGGTAGGATATAAAAACTAATCCTAATCATGCTACTTTGTTTATTTCTCCAGGTTCCTCAGGTATTGCAGGGAAAATAATGCTTACCGAGGATATCAGTATGTGGAAGATGAAAATGATGGTGATGGCAACGATGTACTGACAGCTCAGCTCCATTCTCTCAGTTTGAATAGAGACTCAGCTGGTAAGGGGTTATAATGACACTAAAGCCAAGGCTTCATTACCATTCACCACTGGCATATTTGGAAAAGAGTACAACTTTAATAATTACTTGCATCCAGTGCAGCAAATCAGGGCTGGAGGGAGGTCTTTTCCCCATCTCTCAATGGAAAAGAAAACATCAATTTTTTCCCCAGTTTTGCAACCTCAGGTTTAGCCAAAGCCAGGAGACAAAAAGCAAACATTGTCACACGAATACTTAGGGATTTTCTTGCATCTGGTTTTTAAAAAGCTAAATCCCTATTTTCTTTCAAGATTAATGGATGCATACATAGGTAGATAGTTTGATTAGTTTTTCTTGTTTGTGTATTTTAATGCCTTAAAATATGGATGTGTCATGTATAGAGAAGGTGAGGAGATTCTGGCTGAAAGATCAGCATTGGAGCTATACCCCAGCAGTTTCCTCAGCCGAATTTAGAAAAACACCCCATGGAGGTAGCTACCACATCTCAACCTGTAGAGCCAAGTGCAAGCAAGCTCCTCTGAGAAAGGGCTAAGTGCCCCAGCTTTTGTGGAGCTGTGAAGGCTCAACTTTGCAGAATCTCTAAATCGGTGTTTCTCAAATTCTGCTCCTCCAGGTGTTTTGGACTTTACCCCCCACAATTCCTAATAGCTAGTAAGGTGGTTGTGGTTTCTGAGAGTTGGTCCAAAACACCTGGAGGAGCAGAATTTGAGAAACACTGCTCTAGATCAGCAGTTTTCAACCTTTGGGCCTCCAGGTGTTTTGGACTTAAACTCCCAGAAATCCCAGCCTGCTTACCAGCTGTTAGGAACTGTGGGAGCTGAAGTCCAAAACACCTAGAGGCCCAAAGGTTGGGAACCACTGCTCTAGTTTAACAGAAAAATGAGCTAGCAATAGGTAGCACCTGAGAACCTAACATATAAGGTGTGTCACCTTGTTGCTGGCAACAACATCAGGGTTTGGAACTGCAACTCTGGACTGTTGCTTATCTTGGATTTATGATCTCTGGACCTACCCTTTGACTCTGACTTTTGGAAATCAGATTAACCTTAGACTCTAGACTCTTTTGGATTTGGCCTTCAATCTTGAAATGGACGGCCGGCTTCACTGGTGTACCGCCCTGCTGTTGCCTCTTGGCTGGACTATTTGGCTTGAAGTCTGTTTTGATAACTTCCTGCTTGTAAATAGCATCATGACAGGTTACTTGCTATGGAGTAATCTAATATATCTGGAAAAATAAGAATTCATGTTATGTAAGATACATGATGGATTATAAACCTTGGCCCATCTGTTCAGTGTTCCTGAAACCTTGGCAGTTTACCATGAGGGTAAAAGAAAGGTAAAGGAATCTCACTTTTCTTGCCCCTTTATCTCTTTTTCTTTTTTCCTGCAGATCGCATCTTAGGAGAGAGTCACATCCAGCAACAAGTGGAACCAGAATGGAGACATGAGCATTGAAGGCTCATCTTGCCCTCATTTTCAAGCTGCTATATTCTGAATTCTTGAATAATTGACATTTTTATTGTCTAATGAAAAAGCATATGGTAATCCAACATTTAAAAGATTGGGTTTGGGCTCTGTACTTATAGACTCTCAGGTGTTAAAAGCCAGTGCCTAGAATTATACACAGAAATCTCAAATTTCTGTGATTAAAGAAATCTTAATTTGGAATTGGAATATACTGATTTCATCAAGCCTTTTTGCATCCCATTTCACAAATATGCTGTCTGTATGCTTGGTAGTGCAAGTGTGTATGCATTCTAATGATGAGAAAAAATTATTGCACAGTATGGAGTGTTTTGAACCTAACTGTAAGCTCCTGAATAATTTTTAAAAATTCCCTTTGATATTAAAAAAAAATGAGAATAGATTTCCAGATAGCTTTAACGTTTTTAAGCAATGGATGCTAGGATGTGAAGCTTATTCTAAAGTCACTGTCATTTCTCACTCAAATGTTATCATTTGTCATAAGGTGTTTTTTGTAAAGAATTTATTAAAGCTTATGAGAACAAGCCATTGTATTATCCTTTTTCTTTTCTTTCTCTTCACTCTGTTATATAGAGAACCAAAGCAGGGGAGGGAAGAACACAGGAACAGATTTTGACTAGGTATATCTTTTGAAACACATTTTGAGTCATTTCTTTTAGGCTGTCCATTTTTTAGTTTCAAAAATAAATTCCTACAGAGTCATGATCCCTACTAGTATAGGGACCGTGATAAACATCCATTCACAGAGATTGTAAAGGTTTCACAATCCTCACTTATTGAGCAACAACCAGTACAAGCAATTGCTCTGTTCTGCTAATGGTTGATGTGTTCATCCTCTCTCACACATGCAATCTCTAATGTCAGAGGGAATTATGATGAGTTCTTGCTTCTTGTTCTTGAACCAGGATATTACAGAGGGAGAGGGAGACATCAGTTATCTGCTTCCCAACTAACTGACAGATCCCTGTTGCATGCAGAGACTGATGCCTAGTAAGTGAGGATTGGGGGTTTGGGCTGGGAGACATTGAACAATGAAACTATGGTAGCTGTGTAGAGAAGTATGGGTTATGGAATTGTGGCTGTGGTTCTATCGTGGCAATTCTGGAATGTGATAGGAATTGTGTCTTCACTGAATATTTTTCATCTTTTTACCCCTAAAGATAGAAACAGAATCCTTGGAAAGATGCCTTGGAGTGTGGTGGAAGCTCTTTCTTTGGAGGCTTTTAATCAGAGGCTGGATAGCCATCTGTTGTGAGTGTTTTGCTTGTACTTTTCCTGCATGCCAGGGATTAGACTGGATGTCCCATGTGGGTTCTTCCAACTCTGTAATTCCATGCAGCTCACTATTTGTGCCCTTGAACTTTGCTCATATTGACAGGTGAAATCAGGTAACAGCACTGAGTTAGTGAAAACACATAATTGTTTAACCAATCTAGTGAAGCTGGTGGTATCTGTTTTGAGGGTAGTGTATCTTTGGATCCCTCTATCTTTAATCACTCATGTCAAAAGATGTCTTTTTGAGAATGTGAGTGAGCGATGACTTTCAATACAGTGCTTGTCCTGCTTTCTTCAGTATGGGCTTATAGGATTGTGGCCCTGATTACATTCATATGTCATGATCTAATAGCACACTTGTAGTTGGCCTGGACAATGTTATATTACAGTTACTACAACAGAGAACCTCATTTTCACCCAAGGATGATCAGCAGCAATCTGCTGATCCATCAAATTCGAACCACATTTACTGTCAAGGTATTTCATCGTCCAGTGGAATTTAGCACCAGAGTTGCTTGACCAGGTTTGTGACTTAATAGTAATTATTTGCAGGAATTCCATTCCCTTGCCCATAGTACTTTCACTCCCTGTAGGGAGTGAGATACAGAGGGATATAGGCTTTATACAGAAATGTGAGGGGTGAATATGTCAGTAGGCCTGTGCGGTTTCGTTCGTTAATTCGTTAATTCGTTAAACATTCGTTAATTTTTGCATTTACGGTACGATAACAAAACATATTTCCAAACCCGGAAGGGTTTTTAAATATCGAAACGGCAACTCCCACAGTATTTACGAGCTTTCGCCCGTTTTGTAAATGGGGCGGGCGGGGCCTCCGCGCCTCCGCGCGCCATCCAACCGGCCTCCGCGCGCCATCCAATCGGCTCCGGCTCCTGCGCCCTCCTCCTCCTCCTCCTCCTGGCACTTCCTGCAACACAGCTGGGAGAGGAGGAGGAGGAGGCGCGAGGGGGCGATTGGATGGCGCGCGGAGGCCGGTTGTAAGGGTGAGCACGCGCGCGCCATCCAATCGGCTCCGGCAAGGGTGAGCGCGCGCGCGCCATCCAACCGGCCTCCGGCTCCTGCGCCCTCCTCCTCCTCCTCCTCCTCCTCCTGTCTCTAGTGCCAGGAGGAGGAGGAGGAGGAGGAGGGCGCAGGAGCCGGAGCCGATTGGATGGCGCGCGGAGGCCGGTTGTAAGGGGGAGCGCGCGCTTCCTGCAACACAGCTGCCGGGCGGAGGAGGAGGAGGAGGGCGCAGGAGCCGGAGCCGGAGCGCAGGAGCCGGGGAGGGGATTCCTGCAGCACCGGCTCTGCCTCCGTTGCCCGCCTAAGATGAGACCAATACCATCTTGAAGGCTGCATCCAGATGTTCCAGAAGCATTCTCTCCTGACATTTTGCCCACATCTATGGCAGGCATCCTCAGAGGTCTGTTGGAAACTAGGCAAATGGAGTTCAGTTTATCTATGGAATGTCCAGGGTGGGAGAAATGAAAGCCATTCAATGCTAATAATCAAGGTGACCAACTGCACATTCACACTTACAAAATGTTTTGTAAATATTTACGAAATTTCGTAAATAACAAAACATTTTTTTGGAAAGTTTTGTAAATATTTTAAATATCGAAACAAAAAAACACCCCAATTACAAATCGATTTTAGAAACAAATTTTTTCTTGATCAAACCTCAAGATAGAAAGCGGGCAGGTCTAGAGCACAACAGAAAAGACAAGAGGAGAATCTGAGATAAATTTGAGCTTGTATTAATTCCTGGGATTGCTATGAGGAATAAATTTTATGGATGTGTATTGAGGAAAAAAAGTTTTTATCCATTTTCATTTGTTGATTCAAATCAGTGGGGGAGGAGTAGTGCATGGTACAGAATACTGTTAAAACAGCAGTATGAAATAATCTTTCTAAAAGACTGAAAGGAGGAAAAAAGGAACATAAACCAAAAGGAGAGCATCTTGAAACAACAGTCTCGAAGAAAGCTAGGGAATGACCACAGTTGTTACATATGTGAGTTGAAATTCTCTCTCAACCACAGGGAACAACTAACATGAATATGGCCAGTACAAGAGCAATCTCCAGCATATCTCCACTGAAGCAGCATTGTTTTCGCTATGGCAAAGCCCTTCTTTATTGGTGATATTTGTTTATTCTTTTTTCCTCTTTGCTGAAAAGGGAGGAGCTGTGACTAGTACAAGCAGCAACTGTTTCACCAGGCCCTTGGAGAACTGCATGTTCAGGATGCAGCTGGTAGAAAATACAGCCTGGACCGGTAGCATTTGATGTTTTGCCTGTCATGAAGTAAACAGATAAGGGATAAAGCTGGTCTCTTATGCAATTCTTGCCAGTTATTTCCATAAGTACGGGGGACCAGTTTGCTGCCTAGAGTCTGGTACACAATGTAACTCATTGGGAAAGAGGGATGTAGTTCTTATTTTTATTGAAGGAAGCAGCAAGTAATGTTTGCAATATTCTTTCCACTGCAAGAAAGTATTTGAAAATTATGCTGTGTTAGAGACCTATTTACAATTTGGTATATTCTGCACAAAATTTGCATGGTTATGCTGCACAGAAAATAATTCCCCAGTGACAGAATTTTCTTGATAGGAAAGTATTTTCTATGCAGAAAATAATCTTTTGTATAAACATTTTCTGTGCAAAAAATGCTGTGTTTGGCACAAAATAACTACATGTAAATTTTGTGTAGAATAAGTTTGAAACTGCAAAAATTTCCAACAGGGATTTTTGATACTTTAAAAAGAATTTTGACTATTTTTCTAATATATTCAGATTTTCTTTCCATTCCTTCTGGAGAGCCACAATCACTAAAGATCTGATTGAGGAAGAGAAGAAAGGGAAACTGAACAGCCTTTAGGGAACTGCACTTTATTTCTGGTGTATCTTTTTTTCTGGGAGTTCAGGTATTGTAGGCTGCATTTCAGAGGAAGGAATTGACAAAATAACTTCCTGAGTATTTCTTGCACAAGAAAACCTTATAAAATTCATGAGGTCACTTTACGCCAACAGGTGACTTGAAAGGGCTGAACATTTAGTGGCAAGGAGTTGATCAGACGAATGTCAAAAGCTAGGTTTTTTTCTGAGACTATTTATTTCCATGTTGGCTTTCACACAAAAAAAATACCAAGTGTATTTTGCCCTTGTGATTCTTTTTAGCATAGCCTTAGTGGAAACCATTTGCAATGAGAAAAAATTAAGCTCAAGTAATTTGGTAGATAGCTTTTTCTATAACCTCTGTTTTCATGGTCAAGACAGGGCCAACACAGTCCCATTCAAACAAGAGAGGCTACACAGAAGTCCAAGTAAGATGCAACTGTAAGCAATCAACAAAATGTTTAACTGTGTAACACTGTATGGTATGCAATGGTTGCATATCTGAAGAGTCTGTTTTTTGTCCTGTTAGTGTTCTCTATTTTGGACTTAGTTCAAATACTGAACCATATCTGTGCAGGAGAGGATATTTGGGCCTTCTCTGAAGTGAAGCAGATTTTAAAATATGCTGCTCCTTGTGTTGGAGATATACTTAGGAAGCGTGTTTTATTGTTTGGCAGTGGATACAAAAATGCAAGGCAGAGGTGGGGAAGAGGTAATGCTCTTGCAACTGACAGTTGAAACTTCCGAAGGAAATAATTACTTCATTGGAGTGCTCCAAACACTTTCATTCCTTTTCCAGACATGAACCATGGCATCCATCACTTTGAAAGGAACACATCAGTTTACATATGTAGTAGAACATTGTAATGAGGTGATAAAATCCCTTGAGTAGAGCAAGCTGTGCCACTATAAACTGCAGTGGAGATGTCATCCTTTGGAAAGTTCTTACATATATAAAATGATTCAGACTGCATCTAATTTGGAGTGTCCATGTACTTTCTTTCAACAGAACCTGGGGGTCGGGGCCCCTGAGAGGGTTGTGAGGGGGGTGTCAGAAGGGTTGCCAAAGACCATAAGAAAACACAGTATTTTCTGTTGTTCATGGGGGTTCTATGTAGGAAGTTTTACCCAATTCTATTGTGGATATGGTTTGGAATGCTCTTTGATTGTAGGTGAACTATAAATCCCAGCAACAACTCCCGAATGACAAGGTCTACTTTCTCCAAACACCGGTGTTCACATTTGGGCATGTTGTGTATTTCTGCCAGGTTTGGTTCAGATCCATCATTGTTTGAGTCCACAGTGCTCTCTGAATGTAGGTGAACTATAACTCGAAAACTCAAGATCAATGCCCACT